ATGTGAGCTACGTGCTCCGCTTGCTGGGCGCCCAGGTGGAGTTCCTTGGCGTGCTGAGTCGGTCCAGCTTGCTGCGAGAGATTCTGGCGGAGATGTAGCATATCAACATCGACTTGAGCCATTGCCCGAGAACAGACACTTTGCAATTTATTCTTTAATTTAGTGTAATATTTAAAAGCAAAAACTTCCATAAAAGCAACTCCAGTGCATCACGTTAATATTATTTGGTAAAGGAGTAAGGAAGGGATCTACTTAACTCTTCCTTTTAGAAGTTCAAGCATTGGAAAATAAAGTTTATTTTCCCCTGCCACAAGATGCAAATATCTAAAATTGTTGGCAATCCGATAAAGATGAAGATTTGAACCTTTATAAACAAAGTTGGCGATGAAATAATTTGGAACTATCTCTAAACAAAAAGATTGTAGGTACGTCACTATATTTTTTGTAGACTAAGGCTCTAAAACTGCCAAAGTTTCGTTTTCAGTATGCCACGCCTAAAATGTATTTGTGGGTCATCAATAAAGGAGGCAGTATATATAACTATCGAATTTTCAAATTTCTATCTCTGTCGGATGCCATATTTTAGAGGTTAGCCACGCCCTCTGTGGTCGCAAATATATCCACAATATACGAATTTCGTTGGTCTGTCAACGCGAGTATATATACAAAATATCAATTCTTTAAGGTTTTAACAATACGGTTCCTGAGATACCAGAGATTGTACTTCTCATGCCACTGTTGGATATGCATGGTATAAATCTTAACACTTTATCAGAGAAGACAACAGAAATCATTGTCCTCTGGTTCAAATAGATTTTTAAGTCTGTCAGTTCTGAATAAAAGTTTAGATAAAAGCTGTGCATGGAGATCGTACGGAGCTAAGGGTATCTTCTAGCGGAACACCCTCAACTAGGGAATTTTTAATTTTCTTACTTAGTATTAAAATAGATACTAAAGAATTTAATATTTGACAGCCCATTTACGGCCCACATTTTGTACAAATTATTTCAAATTTTAATTTAAATTTAAGATTTTAAATTTTTTATTTCTTTTCTCAACTATGAACTGCGCTCTGAGCATAACCAAGCCCATGCTATGTGTGGGCGGCATGGGCGTTGACATCGTGGAGCAATGCAACTCAATGCCCGCGGGAAAGTCGGATCATTTATCCGTGGAGGCGCATTGGCTGCGAGGTGGCCATGCGAGCAATGTGAGCTACGTGCTCCGCTTGCTGGGCGCCCAGGTGGAGTTCCTTGGCGTGCTGAGTCGGTCCAGCTTGCTGCGAGAGATTCTGGCGGAGATGGAGCACATCAACATCGACTTGAGCCATTGCCCGAGAACAGACAAAAGCCCGGCTTTCACCACGGTTGTGATAGATCGCCAGACTGGCTGTCGCTCCATTCTGCAATGCAGCAGAAAATTTCCATACATCGGCATAGAGGAGTTCAAAAAGCTAGACCTCGATCGCTATGGCTGGGTGCACTTCGAGGCGCGCAACAAGCTGGACATCATTCCCATGATGCGGGCCATACACAACTACAACAGCGGACGCACAGAGCGCATCAAAATATCACTTAAGGTGGATGGCTGCTACAACGAGAACAAGGATCTCTTCGACATGTGCCACTACTTGATATTCTCGAGGCAGCTGGCCCTGGATCTGGGCTGGCGCACGGTGAAGGAGACCTGCTTGGGACTGGATAAGACTCTGCCCTTGCCACACTCGATTCAAGTACGCAGACCAAACATCCTTTGCTCCTGGGGACCGTACGGTGCTGGCTGCCTGGACACCAACGGCCAGTACTACGACCTGCCGCTCCCTGCTGGCAGGAAACCGATCGATACTTATGGCGTCGGCGAGTGCTTCACAGCTGGCGTCATCTATGCGCTGTACTTGAGGAAGATGCCCCTGCCTGCGGCTGTGGCCTACGGCAATCGTGTGGCGGTGTTTAAGACGACGCGAATGGGCTACAATCACATAGCCAAATTCCAGATCTATCCGGTGACCATAGATAATGATGATAAGCTGTCGGAACATTATTCGGAGGATGATGAGTCAGAGCATTTCATTTGTAGAAAGTACATGAATCGCAAATTTGAGACTAGCGATGGAAAACTATCTACCAAATTAATGAACAGATTCGAAATAAATGAGCCTAAAGATGTTTCGAATGCCAACAGTGAACAAGAAATCGAGCCAGAGGATCAACAGGCGTCGACCACAGGCCAGCAACCAGCACGGCGTATTTCGAAACGTCATATGTCACACGGGCGTAGAAAAAGTGGTACATTAAGGGTGTCCCTACCTAAGAGGAGTATTACGGAAACAAAATAAACCATGAAAAAAATCTATATTTGGGAATAAAAACATTTAAATCTGTATTTGAATGTAGATCTAATATTTAGCTTTCCAAGTCGCCACAGTCCTCAATAATAATTCTCTTGGATGTCTTGCCAGAGTTCGAGCCCAGTGATTCTATCTTTCGTATTACTTCCATACCATCAATTACCTTGCCAAAAACAACGTGCTTATTGTCCAGCCACGAGGTCTTGCCCATGCATATAAAAAACTGCGACCCATTCGTATTGGGTCCGGCATTGGCCATCGACAAGGTGCCGGCGCCGGAATGCTTCAACTCAAAGTTTTCGTCCGGGAATTTGTGGCCATAGATGGAGCGTCCTCCAGTGCCATTCTGATTGGTAAAGTCTCCGCCTTGACACATGAAATTTGGTATGACCCGATGGAATGGACAGCCCTTGTAGCCGTAGCCCTTCTCTCCGGTGCACAAAGCTCGAAAGTTCTCGGCGGTCTTTGGAACTACGTCCGTACGCAATTCCATGCAAATGCGACCCAGCTTCTCTCCATCCGCGGTCACGTCAAAGAAAACATGAGGAAAGGACATGCTTGGGAAGCTGAAAAAAAAACTTTATAAAGCCTAAACAATAATGAACGATAAATGAAATAAAGCCTACCTAACCTATAGAAGTATATACTGAGTAAACTGATATTTCAAATTGTTTAAGAGATAGCTATGTATACATATATATATCTTTATCAAGAATTAAATACGTGAATATATTCTGCTCTTCAATATAAGAATAAATCAATTATATTGCTCTAGACGGAAGTATCCGGCAAGGACATACCCGAACCCTTGCGCAGAAAAAGACTTATCTTCCAGCTATTAATTCCATACCCTTTTTTCAACTCTTTTAAAATCAACTAATAAATTACTGATTGAATTCCGAATTAATTTTCTTTGGCAGCATTTTAAAGAGCTTAAGAAAAATAATAAATAATACGTAATAAAAATGTTTTCCCTTGCAACGACGCCCAAAGGTCAAAGCCATAAATTGGTGTAAAAAGTCGCAAAAATGGCAAATGAAAATGGAAAACGGAAAATGGAAAATTGTTGTCTCGGCTAGCGATGCTGAGCGAAAAAAAATGTCACATAACCTTAAACCGTTTAAACCGGCCATTCATTACGTATGCGCCACGTTGGCCAGCGATAATAATTACCTTGCCGTCCAGCCCCAACTGCTGTCAAGGTAATAAATTATCAGCTATATATGTATATAGATATATATACATATAAATTCAATTGATTGCAGATGGCTGCATCACCATTTTATATTCGTGTTGAAAAGGGTTAACATTTGGAGCATTTCTCTTTGGAATGCCTTTTTCATGGGCTTTTGGGCTATTTGAATTATGGCTAGATTATTTAAATAAATTGCAATATCAACGTAGAGATTTCGGACACCCAATTGCTGCAGGCCAGCTGATGAAGCTCCAACAGATTAAGGACTTAATATCTCTGCAGTCACACAATTTATATAGTATCAACAGAACGGGTTAACGAAAGTAAATAGTTATGAGATTTATATTTATATATGTACGAGAATGTCTCTTTAGCCTTAAATTTCATGCATGTATATGTATATTTGCATATACATATCTCAGATAGTATTATGATTTCCTTCAAAGTAATCAACAATATTCATTATTCATATTCATAGCAAAGGTCAGTATGATAAAATAATCACGGAAAACAATCCTTTTAATATCTGGACATGTAAATATAGTCTGGAAATCTTACCATGGAAATAATGGCATGCCGTAATATTCTGTACTTCTTTACTTTAATCTATTGATCTTTTGACTGACTGATGTATAATCTGTGATCTATTGATATATTGATCGATATTTAATCAAAGAACTATTGATCTAAGTTTTTGCCCACGAGTTCATAAGTCTGCTGGCTTAAAATAAATGTATATAAAAATAAAAACAAAGCAAATATCTTAAGTTAAATTTGAAGAAATATATTAAAGTACTTTATGTCTAATTCTTGAAAATCTCTGGGAATAAAAAATTATATTTATATAAATATATATACATATATATTCATTATAGAACTTTTACTCTAAGAATTACATATACTCACGCATAAATAAAATTAAATATTTGGCATCGAGATTAAGAGGCACGCTTCATTTATTTGCATTCTCAGTGAATGGCTCACATAATTTTCTATATGACGAGGGAAGGCAATGGGGGTGATGGGGTGAGTTGGGCAGAGTGGACAATGCAGACCCCAAATGAAGGGCATTCCTTATCATCTTATTTGCATTTGGCTGGCTGTGGAAAAAATTTCAAATGCCTAAACGCCCTAAATGTGCAGAATTTTGATTTATGTAAGTGCCACATGCCTCCTGCCCTGCTCCCCTAAGCAGCCGGCGTAAAGCCCCAACACCCCAGTTGCCAGCCTCCAACCAACCTCACCTCACCCTCAAGTGTCCGCAATTAATTTTTATTTCCAACGCAGTTCATTTTAGTGGCAAGTCCAGAGGGTGGTTCCCATCACACTGCTGGAGACAAGTGTGCCACAATAAACACACCTCCAAGCCAGAGCTAAAGATAAACACCAAGTTGGGCCTACATGATCGACTATGGTATACCCTGCTTAATTGTAGACTGACTGATTTGTTTACCTAATTTGAATGTGGAATGAGAATGTGTGAAGGTTTGTCCACATATATTACATATGTATATGTATTATTGATATAGTATATCTGATGCTTCCTCAGTTTCTTATTATTTTAATTATGTTTACTTTCACGTTTTGAACTAGTCATAAGTCATGATACTATGAATAACTTCGTCATAGAAATAGATTAAAACATATCAATTCATTACCTTTATTAGCTAACATAATCTAAAATTAATTAAATAGAATAGTGTTATAATAAACCTAGGTCTGTGTTCCTCTATAAATTTACGAAAAATATTCCATCTTTATTATATGCTCTTCTATGCATCCACATATATCTTCTGTTCTCATCCTTTCTATCATCAGATTTATGCCCATTAATTCTTAAAAAAACAATACACAACGATTTTATTCAACATATTTTCTTACATTTAATATTCCTGTTGCATATGTGCACTGCTAGCCGAATATACCCGATTGCCAAACGTCAACTCATTAGCACTGACTTCTTCCACTTTGCGTGTGAAAGACAGTGGAGAGGCGTTTTACTTCCTGCTCAACTGTTTATGGTAAAAAATCAACAATAGAAAAGATGTAAAAAAAAAGAAAATTGTGAATAATTTTTGTAGTCGCTGATTTTACAGCTAAGAAATTGGAGTGTGTGTATGTGTGTGTGTGTGTGCAGCATGATGACCTCATTAATTTTCAATCTGAGCTGGATTACATGCCTGCTGCCCAGTTGTCCAGCTGACGGCCACGCCCACAGTCAGGCGCATGATGAATCTCTTCCCTGATTTCGTGGCACATTCTTTGTGCCCCGCCCACAATTTGGCCCCCCTCTGCCGCACTAATTTATGATGATAAATGAGTTTCAATCAAGCGGCAGAAGTGAAGCCAAAGTCGGCCAGTTTCCGTCGCGGCAGCCGCAGCTCCTTTCGTCCTGCCTTGGCGATCCTGCAGGACCTGGCATTGGAGCTGAAGCAGCAGCTGACTGAAGCAGCAGTAACAGCAGCAGCAGCAGCAGCAGGAACAGCATCAGTCCAGTGGAAATTGTATGTATAAATTATCCATAATTTGATTTGACTTGGCTTGTCCTGACGCAGATTCCGCCAGCGTCTGTGGCATGAGGTTTTTCATTTGAATATTTATGAATAATTTTTTTGTATTATTTTCATATTTTTGGGGGGCAATATATAACAATTTCTGTTTTATTGTTTACTCGAATCTTTCTGTCTGCACTTTTCCAGTCAACAATTTTTCAATTCAAAAATTGAGAAATCAAATTAAGAACTGAATACGACCTTCGCTCTCTCTCCCTCTCTCTCTCTCTCTCTGCGTGTTCGAGCCAAAAGTTTTTTGTTTCAGCTGTTGTAATTACTTGAGAAACTCTTATCTATTTATCTTCGAAGATTAATAATTTGTTGCCTTTCCTTGTAATTATTCACATAGAATTAAACAAATGCCTTTAAGGCAACATTTGATGAATTCAGCATTTCAGTCTTGAAACTTTATAAATATGTCCTGCTGAAGCAAATCTGTGTCCTTTAATGTTCTATTTGCAATTTTTAAGTTCAGTTTATGCTAAATTTGCTTAAACAGCTGCACATTGGCGTCTGGGCTGTCGCTGTGAGCAGTGTCGATTACCACTCAGTTGCGAAACACAAATTTAACTAGTATCTGTTGCCTTCACTTGTCGATATGTACCATGGCTTAATACCCTATCTATGCAAAATAGCAAAGCAGGCATTGCTGAACTAAAAATTAGTAGTGAAGCCTAATACACAGATAAATACTTTAGAAATCAATAATTAATTTACGCTTATTAGATTAAATATAATGCATTAACAAATGGCTTTCCTTTAGAATTCTCATAAATGGGCAAGACACAGGCTTTGCTCATACAGTAGATCCGAGAAAATAAAAAGTTTATATAGCATAAAATATTCCTAACATTCCTAAACTTTCCTTTTTACCCGATTCTTCACTAATCATATGGGAATTTATTCCATATGCTATCAAATTTGTAGGATCACCCATAATTTAAAATGAAAGTAAATAATCATAATAAGTTAAAATCAACAATGTACTCCAATCGGAAACTAATGTTAGGGTAGATGTTAGATGCGTTTCAAGAGTTTATTATGAAGTATTTGTGGTATAAAGGTATAAAGGACATTTGGATATGATCAATAAACCGCTATTACCAAAAATAATAAACCTAGAATAACCATAAGATAAAATAAAAAGCGTATAAGTCGTACTCAAAAAATACAAATATCACATCTATATACAATATACATATATGAAAGTTTTTGCAACGAATATACAGTTGTGCCTTTCTATGCAATTTTCATAAAATTATATGTTCCTCATAATTAGTAATACTAATTTCAGAAGATATCAAAATAAAATTAAACATGAAAATAAATACAAATTATTTTTTTATCGTTATCATTATAAATTAATAATATTGTTAATATTTATTTAAATCTATTTATTTTGTATATTTCTTTTATTTTTTAAGTATTTACATTTTTGTTTTATTTTTACAGCTCTTTTAATCAATATGTGAACGTGTATATCTTTGTTAAGGGCTAAGGTTTCTCAACATTTCAAAAATGTACATAGAGTAGCTGCCATGAGTGATTTTTAATATAATATTATTTTCTAAATCTGACATTTTTTTAAATTATCTCTTATAGCTACGTGTGCAAACAGGGTATCTCTTACTCTTGACTGGCGCGCATTTGTCTTATTTTTTATATATTTATATATATATATACAAATCTTTTTTGTGCTTTCGCGTCTCGTATTCGAGCCACTTCCGCTTCATTGGGCAATTACGCAAGCAGCGCTTTGATTATGCTGCAGCGCACAATTGTTTTGACATTTAATCAAAGCGAGCAACAAAGCGAATCCTGGCGGGTGCTGTCGCCTGCTATACAGGATGCA